CTGTCTGAATTAAATATGCCTTCTATTATTAGGGATTGTTGAGTCATGTGGTAACTTAAATACTATATTAGTTTACCGACTTCAACTTTATGATACATAAAATAGTCTCGTATATTCGGATCTCACATTGGCAGAAGCAGGTACTTTGAGAGGAGGCTCTGCTAGCTAGTCGGTAATCCTCCCTGACTGAATATATTTCGGTTCTCCAGCGAGCTTGGTCGCGTTTCTTGCTAGAGATTTGTCGATTGACTTTAAGTCTTCCTTAACCGAATGAGATGTTCTAGATACATATATCGGTAACTGAATTCCCGCAATCTAATCGATGAAGTACATGTAAGTTCCTCCAAGTTGCCATTTTGGTTGAAGAATCTCGGTTTGCTGTGAAACATCACTTGGACTTAATGTCCACAAAAACACATTTTTATACACAAACATTTTTATACGTGTATAGTGTGAGTTTCTCGGGGCGGACGGACCATCATCCTTTGGTGTTCCTGGCTTCATCTACCCACCTGAACCCAAAGTTGATGAGATGGTCTTTGCTGCTGCAACCTTATTCTTTCACAGTGGAATATATTCCCGGTGGACAGAATGTGGGAGCAGACTTTTTGAGTCGCCACCCTTCGTCTGCTGACGTGCTGACTGAGGATGGGGACAATGTTGTGGAACCTGAACCTGGTGACGGTTAGATGTGTGATGCTGTCGTTCGATTCGCGTGACCGCTCATCTCCTTTGGGGGAGCTCTGTCGCATGACAGAATCCACACATCTACCGCAGCAGGCTGGTCCACAGTCTGAACACCCCCAAAATCGTCATTGTAACTATGATTTAGGATGGGCCGACCATAGTTATATAGTTCGTTTGTTGTGGGGGAATCCTGATAGGAAAAATCCCTGTAAATCACTATGATATTGACTCTTTTAGGCTTTTAGTGTCGAATTACACGTTAGGACACATTTTCTACGCCTATTCTAAATAAATTGTCTGACCACTGCACTGCATTCGTGAGCAGGATTCTTACGCCAACTGCTGCAGTTGGGGAACGTATTTGTATGCGTCACTTCTCTATGGTCCGGTTTTTGAGGCAGTCGCTTTCCTTGTGTGTTGCCAATTGACCGTTAAAAAGACAAGATTCTTTATTCTCTTTTCATTTATCATGGGATTTCTGAGGATCCAACAAGCGTCAGTGTCTAGCTGTATGGTTCACCTACCACCACCCAATAAGCGATTGACGTGTGGTGAATTGCTGTGCTGAATGTCGTGCAGTAAAGTACGGCAGTGTGAAACTCCATTCCGGCATCCTGAGGAGCTGCGAGATCTAATCAGATAAGTCGAAGTGACATTCCTAAAATGGCTCGACTCCAAATGGGCCTTTGTAATCAGTTCTCCACCTCCGCCATGATGATCCAGGAGGTTGATGTGTCTATGTAGAAAGACTCTTTCTCTAGTGTTAGATTTTCAAAGATTTGAATCTTCCTTTTGAGTTCTTCATGCTACTTTTAGTCAACCTTGTTATGGTGAATTCATTACATTAATGTTTTAGTTCATCAGTCTTCTGGTTATTAGAAAAGTTTCGTTTTATTGAAATTCATTGTCTTTTTCAGAAAGGTAGTCCTGTCTTGTCAAATTCACTGTTGATTACTTGTTCGACTGGGCTTACATTGTTTCCAGTCTGGGGGCAAAACAGTGGTGAGGACGTCTGGCCGAGAGGTACCCAAGTGTTCATAATAACCCTGTGAAGTCAGAGCTCGTGTCACCTCATCCCTGAGACAGGTTGAATGGAAAGTTTGAACCGAGGGTTAGGCCTCTAGACAAACGAGAGCCACCATTCAAAACACTCCTGTCTCAGAGCACCTGAGGGATTTGTGAAAATATTCCGTTAGTAAAGGTGCGCGACAAAACTGCCATACGACACCAGGGTATGCGGGTGTTGTTGGCAATGACAGAGGCGACAGATGAGTTGGCTACAGAGGGCCGGCCCATGGATCATGCAGACATTGTTGATGTCATTAGAGAGGTAGGACTTGAGCAGCAGCACATCTACATCTTTGCTAAGAGGGCAAGAACTGGGAGTGAAGATCGGCACAGCCAGGCACGAGAATCACACCAGGCGCACAAGAAGTCTTGTCAACCAATGCAGGACTGGGACTTTTAACTGTGAGACGCTGATGTATACGTTGAAAGGGGAGTCTAAAAACCCATGGACATGTCCGAAGTGCGTGAAGAGTAAAGATAACCCAAATCATAAATCACAACTCAAAAAAAAAAAACAATAAAGAAAGCGATGCCATACGACTGGGAGAAACACCAAGAATCGCTCATTAAAAAAAATTACAAGAAAGCAACCAGAGCTTTCTACGAAAAGATTAAATTAATGAGAACCAGATTAGATCCGTATGATCCGCCTGAAATAATCAAGAGTGTCAAATGGGAGTCAATAAGTGAACAAAAACAAATTCTAGAAAGATTGCACTTTGAATACTTTGAACAGCATCTCTTTATACCATCTGACGCCATATAAACTCCGGACACTACAGTGGACACCGCGGAGGAACTAGAATCTGAAATTCTGAAAGAAGAGATCAGAGAAGCTACCAGAGTTGTCGCAACAAATCAAACGCCAGGACCAGATGGAATGCAACATGAACTAGTTAAAGCAGCAAGGGAGAAGAGAATAATATTACTACACATGTTATGTCATGAGGTGTGGGTGAAACAACAGACACACTGAGACTGGAAATGCCACGATCATTCCAACATGGAAGGGCAACGATAGTAAACGATACTGCACACCCTACAGAGGTATCTGTTTTAAAATATTTTCTGGAAAATTTTAGAGAAAAGTCTACGACCTATTATCGAGCTCCGGTTAAAGGAAGCATAGCTCGGATTTAGAAATAAAAAAAACATGGGATGCACAGACGCCATCTTTGCTTTCAGAAAATTTACAGAGAAAACAAAATTTAATGAGACACTGTATTTAGAATTCGCTAACGTTGAGAAAGAAAAAATATTTGACAGAGTAGATAGGAACCAGCTATGGAGAATCGTGAAGAGTTATGGTGTAAACAGGCATTGATTGAGCATATGTAGAAACATGTCAAGCAACAGTGAATGTACTGTTAGAACAAACGGACGACACTCAAAACCATTCACCATAAAATCCAGAGTACGGTAGGACTGTGTCCTGTCTCCGCTTCTCTCCATAACTGACACTGATAACATCTGTACAGAAACCAACCAAATAAGGACTATTGTAAACCAAGGAGATGAGAATCCAAAGCCAAACAGTTTCATCAAAGAACTACTAATTGCGGACAAAAAGCAGTATTTCTACTTGATGAACCGAACTACAAGAACATATAAATTATTTAAACCAAATTTGCAAATAACATGCCATCAAAATTAACGACAGCAAAACAGAGGTCACGACCACTGCAAAAGTAGACAAAACAATAAATATTCAGCTAACAGAACTTCATGTGAAACAAATCAAGAACTTCAAATACTTAGGAAGCATAACATCATTAGCTGGCAAAACAGAAGATGATACTTATGACAGATGTAACAAAGCAAACAAACTCACTGGGCAAATGGCTCTAATACTAAGAAACAAACATATACCAGTAAAAAAAAACCAAAAGAGCACTCTATCTTCTTGCCAACCCTGTGTTATCACTGCCAGTCCTGTGTTATCACTGCCAGCCCTGTGTTATCACTGTCAGCCCTGTGTTATCACTGCCAGCCCTGTGTTATCACTGCCAGACCTGTGTTATCACTGTCAGCCCTGTGTTATCACTGTCAGCCCTGTGTTATCACTGTCAGCCCTGTGTTATCACTGTCAGCCCTGTGTTATCACTGTCAGCCCTGTGTTATCACTGTCAGCCCTGTGTTATCACTGTCAGCCCTGTGTTATCACTGCCAAGAAAAATTACAACTAAAATGAGATTCCATGCTGGCTCCTGCATCTCTTGTATGTTCTCGGAGATGCCACATATCCGCTGTACACACTCTCCTACATGTGGTACATATGTTGACTCACACATGTATTGTATGTTCTCAGAGATGCCACATATCCGCTGTACACACTCTCCTACATGTGGTACATACGTTGACTCACACATGTATTGTATGTTCTCAGAGATGCCACTTATCCCCTGTACACGCTCTCCTACATGTGGTACATATGTTGACTCACACATGTATTGTATGTTCTCAGAGATGCCACATATCCGCTATACACACTCTCCTACATGTGGTACATATGTTGACTCACACATGTATTGTATGTTCTCAGAGATGCCACATATTCGCTGTACACACTCTCCTACATGTGGTACATATGTTGACTCACACATGTATTGTATGTTCTCAGAGATGCCACATATCCCCTGTACACGCTCTCCTACATGTGGTACATATGTTGACTCACACATGTATTGTATGTTCTCAGAGATGCCACATATCCCCTGTACACGCTCTCCTACATGTGGTACATATGTTGACTCACACATGTATTGTATGTTTCTCAGAGATGCCACATATCCCTGTACACGCTCTCCTACATGTGGTACATATGTTGAGATCACACATGTATTGTATGTTCTCAGAGATGCCACATATCCCCTGTACACGCTCTCCTACATGTGGTACATATGTTGACTCACACATGTATTGTATGTTCTCAGAGATGCCACATATCCCCTGTACACGCTCTCCTATATGTGGTACATATGTTGACTCACACATGTATTGTATGTTCTCAGAAATGCCACATATTCCCTGTACACGCTCTCCTACATGTGGTACATATGTTGACTCACACATGTATTGAATGTTCTCAGAGATGCCACATATCCCCTGTACACGCTCTCCTACATGTGGTACATATGTTGACTCACACATGTATTGTATGTTCTCAGAGATGCCACATATCCCCTGTACACACTCTCCTACATGTGGTACATATGTTGACTCACACATGTGTTGTATGTTCTCAGAGATGCCACATATCCCCTGTACACACTCTCCTACATGTGGTACAGTGCCACCGCCGTCCTGACGTGTATTGTTGTTGGCCTCATCGTCAGCTTTCTTACAGGTTTGTTCTTATTTGTTGGTATTTATTTGGGTCTGTGTCATCATGTGTGTGAGTTTGTGTGTGTGTGTGTGTGTGTGAGTGTGCGCGTGTGTGTGAGTTATGTATGTGTGTGTGAGTGTGCATGTACGCGCGCATGCATGCGCATTACTGCATAACATTACACGATGGTCTATGTTATCTGTATTAGCGCAGTCGATAAGAGGCTTGCTTTCAAATCCAGCTGCGACTCGCTGCAGCCCATGGTCGGTGTTCCCGGAGTTCACCCAGCCTCTAGGAAATGGGTACCAGAGTGACACTGGGGTGAATGGAGGAACGTCGCTGTAGCTACAGAGTTACGTGCGAACGGCAACACAGGCTGACAGTTTCTTATCAGATGTCCGTACTGGTGGCAGAGCACTTATGGTTTATAACCGTGTCCAATGTCGCTGGTTCACATTTCCCTACTTTACCTTTTACCTTTACCTATGTTATCACATCATGTTACAGTGTAAAATAATATTCGTAGTGTCTGAGTGATACACAATATATATTACAAAATAACAGGACACCTTGAAAGTGTGCTATCTTGTAAATTGTACAGTTTCATCGGTCACTCATAGGGTCTCTTTATCGTGGTTCTGTTACTGTCTAAGAATGTTAAATTGAGAATCGACATCACAACACTCGAGACACTCCCATGAGTGCTCGCTCCCTATCTCTAGCAGCAAGCGAAGAGTTCTGATTCCAATGGCACCAGTAACCGTCTGATTGTATAATGATTGTCTGACTGTCTAAGAGAACACTCACAGTCCCTGTTATCATAAAAGTGGTGCAATATAAACGAACACTTGTAGATTATAAATTATCTTATACGTTACAATATGTCGCAACAAGCACTAAGTTTGTGATATCATAATAAATTAAAATATAACAAAACTCATACAATCTGTTATCACATAAATGGTTAAGTATAAAGAAGACCCACAGTCTGTGTTATCATTTATGTTACAGTATAACAACTCGTAATTCTGTGATATATATATCACTATATATATATATATATATATATATTGGTATCTTGGTATAAGTAATCAGTTGCTGATTCCTGGATGTAAACCAGACAGGACAAATACCAAAAGAATGTTCCCATAAAATGTGCAGAAACAATAATTAATTCATTACATTTTGTTAAGGAAATCAGATTGTTAGTGGCATATTATACATTGATGGGGTTGAATACGATCATTTAAACACTGTCTAATACTAAAATACAAAACTACAAAGTAATAGATGTAATATATAAATCTGTAACCTGACTTGACCTTCCTGTGAAGAGTCGACGGCGACGGGGCTGAGAGAGAGCATCAGGAGGAGAAGCTGTAATTGTTTGGGTGTAGAGTCCACGTCTAATAAAACTTCAGGAAGTGAAGCTCTTTAACAAAACCAAAAAATAACAATACTAAAAAAAATAATAATAATAATCTGTGTAAAGAACGTTGCTTCTGCCTTCAAATCTGAATATTTCGCAAAGGTGACATTGTTTATTCTAGACAGTGCTGTAACTTCTTGTTTGAGCTTTGTTGCGTTAATCATTCTCCCTTCTGTAACTTCTTGTTTGAGCTGTGTTGCGTTGATCATTCTCTCTTTTGTTACTTCTTGTTTAAGCTTTGTTGCGTTGATCATTCTCTCTTTTGTTACTTCTTGTTTGAGCTTTGTTGCGTTGATCATTCTCTCTTTTGTTACTTCTTGTTTGACCTTTGTTGCGTTGATCATTCTCTCTTCTGTAACTTCTTGTTTGAGCTTTGTTGGGGTCATCATTCTCTCTTTTGTTACTTCTTGTTTGAGCTTTGTTGCGTTGATCATTCTCTCTTCTGTAACTTCTTGTTTGAGCTGTGTTGCGTTGATCATTCTCTCTTTTGTTACTTCTTGTTTGAGCTTTGTTGCGTTGATCATTCTCTCTTTTGTTACTTCTTGTTTGAGCTTTGTTGGGGTCATCATTCTCTCTTCTGTAACTTCTTGTTTGAGCTTTGTTGGGGTCATCATTCTCTCTTTTGTTACTTCTTGTTTGAGCTTTGTTGGGGTCATCATTCTCTCTTTTGTTACTTCTTGTTTGAGCTTTGTTGCGTTGATCATTCTCTCTTTTGTTACTTCTTGTTTGACCTTTGTTGCGTTGATCATTCTCTCTTTTGTTACTTCTTGTTTGAGCTTTGTTGGGGTCATCATTCTCTCTTTTGTTACTTCTTGTTTGAGCTTTGTTGCGTTGATCATTCTCTCTTTTGTTACTTCTTGTTTGAGCTGTGTTGCGTTAATCATTCTCTCTTCTGTAACTTCTTGTTTGAGCTGTGTTGCGTTGATCATTCTCTCTTTTGTTACTTCTTGTTTGAGCTTTGTTGCGTTGATCATTCTCTCTTTTGATACTTCTTGTTTGAGCTTTGTTGGGGTCATCATTCTCTCTTCTGTAACTTCTTGTTTGAGCTTTGTTGGGGTCATCATTCTCTCTTTTGTTACTTCTTGTTTGAGCTTTGTTGGGGTCATCATTCTCTCTTTTGTTACTTCTTGTTTGAGCTTTGTTGCGTTGATCATTCTCTCTTTTGTTACTTCTTGTTTGACCTTTGTTGCGTTGATCATTCTCTCTTTTGTTACTTCTTGTTTGAGCTTTGTTGCGTTGATCATTCTCTCTTTTGTTACTTCTTGTTTAAGCTTTGTTGGGGTCATCATTCTCTCTTCTGTAACTTCGTGTTTGAGCTTTGTTGGGGTCATCATTCTCTCTTTTGTTACTTCTTGTTTGAGCATTGTTGGGGTCATCATTCTCTCTTTTGTTACTTCTTGTTTGAGCTTTGTTGCGTTGATCATTCTCTCTTTCGTTACTTCTTGTTTGACCTTTGTTGAGTTGATCATTCTCTCTTTTGTTACTCCTTGTTTGAGCTTTGTTGGGGTCATCATTCTCTCTTTTGTTACTTCTTGTTTGACCTTTGTTGCGTTGATCATTCTCTCTTTTGTTACTTCTTGTTTGAGCTTTGTTGCGTTGATCATTCTCTCTTCTGTAACTTCTTGTTTGAGCTTTGTTGCGTTGATCATTCTCTCTTCTGTAACTTCTTGTTTGAGCTTTGTTGGGGTCATCATTCTCTCTTTTGTAACTTCTTGTTTGAGCTTTGTTGGGGTCAAAATTCTCTCTTCTGTAACTTCTTGTTTGAGCTTTGTTGGGGTCATCATTCTCTCTTCTGTAACTTCTTGTTTGAGCTTTGTTGGGGTCATCATTCTCTCTTTTGTTACTTCTTGTTTGAGCTTTGTTGCGTTGATCATTCTCTCTTTTGTTACTCCTTGTTTGAGCTGTGTTGCGTTAATCATTCTCTCTTCTGTAACTTCTTGTTTGAGCTGTGTTGCGTTGATCATTCTCTCTTTTGTTACTTCTTGTTTGAGCTTTGTTGCGTTGATCATTCTCTCTTTTGTTACTTCTTGTTTGAGCTTTGTTGGGGTCATCATTCTCTCTTTTGTTACTTCTTGTTTGAGCTTTGTTGCGTTGATCATTCTCTCTTTTGTTACTTCTTGTTTGACCTTTGTTGCGTTGATCATTCTCTCTTTTGTTACTTCTTGTTTGACCTTTGTTGCGTTGATCATTCTCTCTTTTGTTACTCCTTGTTTGAGCTTTGTTGGGGTCATCATTCTTTCTTTTGTTACTTCTTGTTTGACCTTTGTTGCGTTGATCATTCTCTCTTTTGTTACTTCTTGTTTGAGCTTTGTTGCGTTGATCATTCTCTCTTCTGTAACTTCTTGTTTGAGCTTTGTTGGGGTCATCATTCTCTCTTTTGTAACTTCTTATTTGAGCTTTGTTGGGGTCATCATTCTCTCTTCTGTAACTTCTTGTTTGAGCTTTGTTGGGGTCATCATTCTCTCTTCTGTAACTTCTTGTTTGAGCTTTGTTGGGGTCATCATTCTCTCTTCTGTAACTTCTTGTTTGAGCTTTGTTGGGGTCATCATTCTCTCTTTTGTAACTTCCTATTTGAGCTTTGTTGGGGTCATCATTCTCTCTTCTGTAACTTCTTGTTTGAGCTTTGTTGGGGTCATCATTCTCTTTTCTGTAACTTCTTGTTTGAGCTTTGTTGGGGTCATCATTCTCTCTTTTTAAAATCATAGACATTTGTCCTTGGCTCTGTCTCGAGAGTAGTAAAGATTGCAAGCGACGTCGTGACTTATTTAGACATACAAGCTCTAGAACTAGAGACGTATTCAAAACGAAGGTCGTTTACCAAACAAAATGAGTCATGTCTAAATAGGATGTATACCAACTTGAACTCATACCACAGCGAACGTATACCCAGGTACCACTGTCTGTCTGTGTGTGTGTGTGTGTGTGGAAAAGGGGAGGGGGGACCATCAGGGTTATCGTACAAAAGTACAGTACAATAGACCACAAAGAGACACATCAGCGTCAATGAGATCACTAAGTCGGTTTTGACTGCATAAATTAGACACATGTGTCCAGAAATATAAGAAAATCGAACAATAAAATATTAGGCAATAATTTAACTTATTCTAGGAGTTCATCCTCTACAATTATGTTATTTGTTTACTTTTTTGTTCATCACAAATTTCTTAGGAGCGACCGACCCAAAGGATCTAGATCCTAAAGTTGTGTGCCCTTTGTTTGATATAATGTTCCCATTTCTTCCGGAACGTATCCTGAAGCCACTTCGCTTTGGAGTCAACCATCAACAGGTGAGAAACAGACATCTTTTTTTTGGGCATTTAAAAAAAAGAAATATTTTGCTATTGTTTTTGTTGTGAATTATTGTTGTCGGAATTATCAGTAGCCGCCATGTTGAAAATATGCAAAAGAAATTGACTTGTGAAGATCAACATAAACCGATGCTCTACCTGGGGCATGCCTAAAGGAAAGGACATAAGCCCATGCCTTCAGACATTTTGGGCATATGAGGCTAGACACCACGCCAGGTGCCTTTACTTCCCAAGATTGGTAGCCTTTTAAGGCTGGGTAAACCTGGCAGCCAGGTTCACTCACGACTTTCGGATACGCAGGTGAGCCTCTACCAGCTACACAACGACCGCTCCCTGCGCCTGCGTGGAAATGATGACAGTAAGGTAAAGCCGAAAACACTGGTGACTTTGGTGGATCTTATATCAACAAGTAACTAAATACAACACATTTCCGGTAAATGTGACCTGCCTGTCGGCGAGTGACTTGTCTAAGCCATTGCCACTGACTTTGGTGCAAACATGGCCTTCACTAAGCTTCCTTGTCACCGTCATTATTGTGTTTAGCTGTTTGTGAATATCACACCGGGTTGTGCTGACCTGCTGGCACCTGTGATCTGCACGCAATAGTCGTATAATCTCACAGTGAAGCAATGACGATAGGCGTCCTTTGATTATCAGGAGCAGTTTCTCCTTCTAATTGTCTCTTCTTGCTTAGGTCTCCATCTTTTATAGTCTCTAGGGACTAGGTCTCTTGGGTATCAGCTACCGATTGGCTTTTTCATATTGTGTGTCACACCATGACAGACAGTTTACAGATGCGCTCCTACCAGTGACAGCATCCTCCAACAGTATCACAACAATGTCCTCCGAACCACCTGCCATAAACCATGCCAAAAGGTTTGCACCTATAACACTGTGCTCTGTTTCCCTCTAGTCAGTAAATTCATTTATATATACCGTTCACGCACACACACACGCACAAAAGAAACACATAGTTACTGAAAGGGAAAAAACATACTCACAGTTTTGATATTCTGCATCTTTCTAATGCAGTCAGTGAAATTACTCAAACTTCACACAAGAATACCTTGGGGTTCCACCAATCATTTGACGCCGTTTTTTCCCCATCTGGGTCACGATAGTTTTTACGCGTAGGCCTTTCCCGTTAGTATGGTGTGTGGCCTCCTCTTGCGTGGATCAGTGACTGGCATCGTCTGGGCATGGATGCGATCAGATGTCTGATATGGGCCTTTGAGATGGCTGCCCACTCTTCCTGGAGTGCCTGGAAAACAGATCACGACCATTAGATGGATCATACACGTCTTTGCAGCTCATCCCACATGTGCTCAATCGGACTCATGTCTGCAGACAGGGATAGCCAGGGAAGGGTTTGAATGTTATTGGCAGCCAGGAACTGGGTGGTCAGCTGTGCAGAATGGGGCTGGTGTTGTCCTGTTGAAAAAGATATCTGTTGGCACCCCAAAATGGAAGGACAGGTGGTCGAAGAATTTCGTATCGTTGCGCATTCAAGCTTCCTTCAGTGTGCGCCTATTGACTCCTTTTATTATAACTGATTATTCCCCATACCATTACACCTCCACCACCGTGCAGCAGAGCTTCATCAACACAATTTTGGGCTAAACCTTTATTTTGTCTATGGTAGACCCTACGCCGTCTATCGTGACGCTGCAACAAAAATAAAGATTCGTCACTGAACCAGACACGTTTCTACTGATTGTCACTTGCCCAGGGACGATGTTGGTTGGACCAAAGAAGTCGATTTTGGCGGTGGCGACGAGTAAGGACAGGTCCTCGGTGTGGCCAAAGCCCACAGTCCAACATCATGCAGTCAGTTCGGAACTGTTTGATCAGACACAGGACGTCCCAGAGGCCATGCCTGTGCAGTTGAGGAAGCTGTTGTAAACCTGTCTCTGAGGTGACGAAGCTGAATCAAGCGATTCTCCGCTGCTGTTGTCACTCTGGGTCGTCCACCGCGATGTCGGTCTTCAACTGAACCAGTGGCTTGGAACCGGTGCCAAAGTCGACTGATGGTACTCTGGTGCACGTTTAGATGCCTGGCAATCCGACTTTGACTTTCTCCTGCCTACAAGTGGCCAATATCAATATTCCTTAAATTTATTGATAGAGGCGCTATTTGTGACTGCATGAAAATGAACTGATCGTCTTGATGTAGCGTTATCCTTTTATAGGGTTTAAATTACGTAGGCACTTAATAGTGTTCACCGCAAATTGTGTTGCTTTCTCGTGCGCGCCTCATGAGCTATGCTCACAAATATGGTCTTAAACACAATTGACCACTGCGTTGTAACGATTATAAAAACCCACGCAGTTCAGGCTCACACGTTCATTGGACACTGTAAAAAGCCTTTAAGTCTGCTTTTCACAAACCTGAGTAAGATATTTTATTTACTAACTAATAAAAAAGCGCCACCGGATAACTACGCCTTTTTTTTTTTTTTTTAACTTTTTTTTTTTTTTTTTGAACAGTATATGTTGGTAAGTATTACCAAACAGTGAATTTCATCTGATAAAACAATCTGGTTGTTGGTAGTTGCAACCAAACCTAGATCATACAGTCCGGTTGTTGGTAGTTGTAACCAAACTTAGATCATACAATCTGGTTGTTGGTAGTTGTAACCAAACTCAGATTATTCAATCTGGTTGTTAATAGTTGTAAATTAAACCTAGATCATACAGTCTGGTTGTTAGTAGTTGTAACTAAACCTAGATCATACAATCTGGTTGTTGGTAGTTGTAACCAAACCTAGATCATACAGTCTGGTTGTTGGTAGTTTTAACCAAACGTAGATCATACAATCTAGTTGTTGGTAGTTGTAACCAAACCTAGATCATATAGTCTGGTTGTTGGTAGTTGTAACCAAACTTAGATCATACAATCTGTTTGTTGGTAGTTGTAACTAAACCTAGATCATACAGTCTCGTTGTTGGTAGTTGAAACCAAACCTAGTTCATACAGTCTGGTTGTTGGTAGCTGTAACCAAACCTAGATCATACAGTCTAGTTGCTGGTAGTTGTAACCAAACCTGGATCATACAGTCTAGTTGCTGGTAGTTGTAACCAAACCTGGATCATTCAGTCTGGTTGTTGGTAGTTGTAACCAAACCTGGATCATTCAGTCTTGTTATTGGTAGTTGTTACTAAACCTGGATCATAAGTCTGGCTGTTGGTAGCTGTAACTAAGCCTAGATCATACAGTCTGGTTGGATGTTATAACCAAACCTAGAACATACAAATTAGTTGTTGGTAGTTGTATCCAAACCTAGATCATACAGTCTGGTTGTTGGTAGTTTTAACCAGACCTAGATCATACAGTCTGGTTGTTGGTCGTTGTAACCAAACCTAGAACATACAATCTGGTTGTTGGTAGTTGTAACTAAACCTGGATCATACAGTCTGGTTGTTGGTAGTTGTAACCAAACCTGGATCATTCAGTCTGGTTGTTGATAGTTGTAACCAAACCTAGATCATACAGTCTGGTTGTTGGTAGTTGTAACCAAACCTAGATCATACAGTCTGGTTGTTGGTAGTTGTAACCAAACCTGGATCATACAGTCTGGTTGTTGGTAGTTGTAACCAAACCTAGACCATACTATCTGGTTGTTGGTAGTTGTAACCAAACTTAGATCATTCAATCTGGTTGTTGGTAGTTGTAACCAAACCTAGATCATACAGTTTGGTTGTTGGTAGTTGTAACCAAACCTAGATCATACAGTCTGGTTGTTGGTAGTTGTAACTAAACCTAGATCATACAGTCTGGTTGTTGGTAGTTGTAACCAAACCTGGATCATTCAGTCTGGTTGTTGGTAGTTTTAACCAAACCTGGATCATTCAGTCTGGCTGCTATTTATGTCGGTTAAATGTTGAGGTTCTCTTGTTCAGTTCCCCACCTACCTCTACCCGACACACATAGACTGACACATGGACATACACACATAGACTGACACATGGACACACACATAGACTGACACGTGGACACACACATAGACTGACACATGGACACACACATAGACTGACACGTGGACACACACATAGACTGACACGTGGACACACACATAGACTGACACGTGGACACACACATAGATACACACAGGAAGGCAAAAATCCCGCAGTAAAGATAAACATGCGTCTATATAGTCATTATTATCACCTGTAAAACAGTCATTGTCGGAAAGAGTAAACCTGTGTCAATCATCTCCTGTCTACAGACACGTGACAAAGGTGATGATTCGGCACCAGACAAAAGTCTAGACGATTCTTCTAACGGACGTGTGCTGGCAGAAACGGATTTCAAGACAGCACAAGAGGACAAATCAGAATATGCATATGAAAATGTGGCAGCAACAAAATGATCACACACAGCTGTCTGTCTGTGTGTGTGTGTGTGTGTGTGAGATGATCACACATAGCTGTTTGTCTGTCTGTCTGTGTGTGTCTAAGAGATGATCACACACAGCTGTCTGTCTGTCTGTCTGTCTCTGTGTGTGTGAGAGATGATCACACACAGCTGTATGTCTGTGTGTGCGTGTGTGTGTGAGAGAGAGAGATGATCACACACAGCTGTCTCTGTGTGTGTGTGTGAGAGAGATGATCACACACAGCTGTCTGTCTGTGTGTGTGTGAGAGATGATCACACACAGCTGTCTGTCTGTCTGTGTGTCTGTGAGAGATTATCACACACAGCTGTATGTCTGTCTGTGCGTGTGTGTGTGAGAGAGAGAGATGATCACACACAGCTGTCTGTCTGTGTGTGTGTGAGAGAGATGATCACACACAGCTGTATGTGTGTGTGTGTGAGAGATGATCACACACAGCTGTCTGGCTCTGTGTGTGTGTGAGAGAGAAAGAGATGATCACACACAGCTGTCTGTCTGTGTGTGTGTGTGTGTGTGAGAGAGAGAGTGTGTGTGAGAGATGATCACACACAGCTGTCTGTGTGTGTGTGTGTGTGTGAGATGATCACACACAGCTGTCTGTCTGTGTGTGTGTGTGTGTGAGTGAAAGATGATCACATACAGCTGTCTGTCTGTGTGTGAGAGCGAGATGATCACTCACAGCTGTCTGTGTGTGAGAGAGAGATGATCACACACAGCTGTCTGTCTGTGTGTGTGTGAGAGATGATTACACACAGCTGTCTGTGTGTGTGAGAGAGATGATCACACACAGCTGTCTGTGTGTGTGAGAGATGATCACTCACAGCTGTCTGTGTGTGTGAGAGATGATCACTCACAGCTGTCTGTCTGTGTGAGAGAGAGATGATCACTCACAGCTGTCTGTGTGTGTGAGAGAGATGATCACACAAAGCTGTCTGTGTGTGTGAGAGAGATGATCACTCACAGCTGTCTGTCTGTGTGTGAGAGAGATGATCACACAAAGCTGTCTGTGTGTGAGAGAGAGATGATCACTCACAGCTGTCTGTGTGTGAGAGCGAGATGATCACTCACAGCTGTCTGTGTGTGAGAGAGAGATGATCACTCACAGCTGTCTGTGTGTGAGAGAGAGATGATCACTCACAGCTGTCTGTGTGTGAGAGCGAGATGATCACTCACAGCTGTCTGTCTGTGTGAGAGCGAGATGATCACTCACAGCTGTCTGTCTGTGTGAGAGAGAGATGATCACTCACAGCTGTCTGTGTGTGTGAGAGAGATGATCACACGAAACTGTCTGTGTGTGTGAGAGAGATGATCACACGAAACTGTGTGTGTGAGAGAGAGAGAGAGATGATCACACGAAACTGTCTGTGTGTGTGAGAGAGATGATCACACACAGCTGTCTGTGTGTGAGAGAGAGATGATCACACGAAACTGTCTGTGTGTGAGAGAGAGATGATCACACGAAACTGTCTGTGTGTGAGAGAGAGATGATCACACGAAACTGTCTGTGTGTGAGAGAGAGATGATCACACGAAACTGTCTGTGTGTGAGAGAGAGATGATCACACGCAGCTGTCTGTCTGTGTGTGAGAGAGAGATGATCACTCACAGCTGTCTGTCTGTGTGTGAGAGAGAGATGATCACTCACAGCTTTCTGTCTGTGTGTGAGAGAGAGATGATCACTCACAGCTGTCTGTCTGTGTGTGAGAGAGAGATGATCACTCACAGCTGTCTGTCTGTGTGTGAGAGAGAGATGATCACTCACAGCTGTCTGTCTGTGTGTGAGAGAGAGATGATCACACAAAGCTGTCTGTGTGTGTGTGAGAGAGAGATGATCACACACAGCTGTCTGTGTGTGTGAGAGATCGTATGTGTGTTGACGTTTCATTCTTGTGTACTTTCATGTAAGGCTCACATCAGTGTTAATATGTTTTTCACGTGTGATTTAATATCTGTTCATGTGAAGTTCCCATACTTTTTTTTTTTTTTTTGTGGTTTACATATGTGTGTGTTCACCTTTTTGTCTTCATCTGTGTATCTCTTTGAGTCTGTCTGCAGACAAGGTTATGACCATTGTGGAATAAGTAATTGTTCTCGCCGCATATTCCCCCAACATTCACATTCATGCAACATTTGTTAGATTTCCCCGGAAACATTTACATTCATGCAACATTTGTTAGATTTCCCCGGTAACATTTACATTCTTGCAACAGTTATCTCTGTCTCCAGATATTCACATTCCCACATAATTCATTTCCCCCCTCCCTCCCTTTTTTTTCACCATTTTCCTCTCCCATATTCTTCTATTCACTGCATTAATCACTTCCCTAATTATACACATTTTCACATCATTAATCCGTCTCTTACCTGTACTTGTGAAGAGAATGTTCTCTTTGCTGCCCAGACTGAGTGCCAGGAAATGTTCTATACAGTAAAGGCGGCCATTGTGATTTTTACCTGATTGCGCAGTGAATGCTGATTTGTTGTATAATATGTGGAACAAGCACTAACGCGTAATACATCTCATGGTCTAATACATCTCATGGTCTAATACATCTCATGGTCTAATACATCTCATGGTCTAATACATCTCATGGTCTAATACATCTCATGGTCTAATACATCTCATGGTCTAATACATCTCATGGTCTAATACATCTCACGGTCTAATACATCTCATGGTCTAATACATCTCATGGTCTAATACATCTCATGGTCTAATACATCTCATGGTCTAATACATCTCATGGTCTAATACATCTCACGGTCTAATACATCTCACGGTCTAATACATCTCATGGTCTAATACTCTCATGGTCTAATACATCTCATGGTCTAATAATACTAATACATCTCATGGTCTAATACATCTCATGGTCTAATACATCTCATGGTCTAATACATCTCATGGTCTAATACATCTCACGGTCTAATACATCTCATGGTCTAATACATCTCACGGTCTAATACACGGTCTAATACATCTCACGGTCTAATACATCTCACGGTCTAATACATCTCACGGTCTAATACATCTCACTGCTGTGAGAAGAAATCCATCCGTTTTGAGGTCTTACATCTCACATATCACTCACGTAAATAATTACGTGAAGCTTCTGTTTCTCTGTGCACCTACAACTAGGTATATCCCCCTCTTCCCCCTTCCCCATTTCCCTCATATTTTCCTCATTTCCGTGTGTATGTCCAATCAAATTATGTTCAGCATATGAACTGTCCGCCGGGCTAAAGTGCCATTCTGTCGATTAACAAGGAAACTGCTCACAAATTGTAGTTTTTTTTGCTAGCAGATCTTAATTCCAAGTCTGCCATTCTGGCGAGTGATGTGGATTCAGTACCCCAAGTGCTATCCTTCCCATTTCTCTGAGGACATTAATAATATCGGTATAATCCATGTGCTAAATTGATGTCAATTAGAACAATTCAGAATTCAGTACTTAGGATGCATATTTACAGAAGATTGAGACTCGATAAAAAATACAGGTAGTGTTCAAAAAGCCAATGCAGTCAACTACCCACTTGCCCCACTTCTTCGTCATCCAAAGATTTCGTTACAGCCAGTTACGGATGATACAGCATTTACAGTGACGTTATGTTATCAGTGCCAAACGTTCACATATGCAAAAAATAACTACGGTTAAATGCATGTCTCCGAAGGTCACCAACAATCAGAGTCACAACGTCAGCATTAGAGACAAAAGTTGGAACAAGAGCATGCATGGAACATATTGAATAACAGAGAATATGGTTTGGTAACAAGTAGTCTGGAATGCAACCGGATCAGTTTTGCCTATAAGGCCTACAATAGCCATCGGGAAAAAAGGCCAAGGAAGACCCAGGAAAAATGGCGAGTGAGTGCTGAATACGGCCAGAAGATCCACTAAACTGTCACTCAAATCACGCGAGAGGCACAAAACAAATATTTCTCACGACAGGGCATTAATAATAGAAGGTATAGATAGATAGAATCCATAAACTGACCGTCGGTAGTGATAGCGGATCCAGTCAGCCTGTCAGCTCTTTCATTTCCATCGACGCCTGCGTATTCCGGAACAAAAATAAAGGTGACTCCACACACAGTGGACTTCTGTAATGATTCAAGCCATTGTCTTCGCACCGAACCTGCCTGAACCCTCCAGATCATACTCATTGAATCACTGAGGATACATACGCGGGTGTATTTTTGTGTTTCAAGCCAGGCAAACGCTTGCGTCCCTGCCATCACCTCCATCGTCATGCTGCTGGTCGTCATGGAGAAGGCGCCGTTGTATCTTCTGCCCAGGTGTGCTGTGAATGCCCATGCGCTTCTTTTCTTGGCGTGTGGATGGTGTAAGGAGGTACATTTGGGGGGAAACGGGGGAGGGGTGGCAGGACTTGGCACGTTTGGAAAGATGTGTTTCAGATCAATAGAATACAGTATGTTGAAAATGTTTGAAAGACATTGATTTAAATCTGCTAAATCATCATCACCATCACGTGCATTGCCGTCTGGTTGAGCGATCATGCCTCTCCATAATCTGCGATATCCTGCAGCATGTAAGAGTTCGTGTGCCGACACACCTTCTGCAACAAGACTGTCAAGAATATTCTCTCGTTGTCTTCCTCTATCCCTCCTTCCACAGATCTTTCTTGTGGTCACTACATTTCTATTTTCCCTCTTCTCATAACATAGCTGAAAAATGATGACTGTCTCCTTCTGATGTCTGTGATATGGTGTCTTCGGGCTCTTTCAAAACCTCTTGGTTGCTCTTTTTGGCCGTCCAAGGTATTCTAAGCATTCTTCTGTGAAACCACATCTCTGAGGCCTCAAGAAATTGTTTGGCCTGCCTACCGATTGTCCAGGATTCACAGCCATATGTTAAAACTGGATGTATGTAGCAATCAAGAATTATTTTTCTAACTTTTAATGACAAAGATATACTTGCATCTAGATGTTCTTACGGTTTTTTACATAACTCTCCT